ATTTTCTCTAAACAAGTACCCTTCATGCCTATAAAACTTATCAAAAGCAATCTTCTCACATGCATTAAACACGTTAACAAAATCTAGATCATTAGCATATAATTCTTTAATGTGCTCAAAACCTAATAACTTTGCACTTAGGGTAGAGATTAGTGTGTACCTACGAGATAAAGCATCAGCCACAATGTTTTCCTTTCCTTGCTTATACTTGATCACATAGGGAAACATCTCAAGGAATTCCACCCACTTAGCATGTCGTCTATTCAACTTACCTTGTCCCTTTAGGTGCTTCAACGACTCATGATCAGTATGTATCATGAACTCCTTAGGCCAAAGATAATGCTGCCATGTCTCTAAAGCTCTTACCAATGCATACATCTCCTTGTCATATGTAGGATAGTTAAGTGCTGCACCAATCAATTTTTCATTGAAAAACGCAATAGGTCGCCGCTCTTGCATCAAAACAGCACCAATGCCAATACCTGATGCATCCCATTCGATTTCAAAAGTTTTAGTAAAATCAGGTAAAGCAAGTAACGGTGCAGAAATTAAATTTTCCTTAATTAAATTGAAAGCATTCTCCTGTTCACTTTTCCACTTAAATCCAACACTTTTTTTCACAATTTCAGTTAACGGTGCTGCAATTGTGCTGAAATCCTTGATAAATCTTCTGTAGAAACTTGCCAAACCATGAAAATTTCACACCTCATAAATATTTTTAGGTGTTGGCCATTCTTTAATAACCTTACCTTTTCTACATCTACTGCGATTCTATCAGCTAAAACAACATACCCTAAAAAAACAATCTGATTTGTGCAAAAGGAACACTTTTTAAGGTTAGCAAACAACTTTTCTTTTCTCAACACCTCTAGTACCATTCGCACATGCTCAATATGTTCAATTAAACTCTTGCTATATATCAGAATGTCATCAAAATAAACAACCACAAATTTGCCAATGAAAGCATGCAAAACACGATTCATTAATCGCATGAATGTACTAGGCGCATTAGTTAATCCAAATGGCATAACTAACCACTCATATAGACCATGCTTCGTTTTAAAGGCTGTTTTCCATTCATCTCCTTCCTTCATCCTAATCTAATGATATCCACTCTTTAAATCAATTTTAGAGAATATGTAAGAACCATGCAACTCATCTAACATGTCATCTAATCTAGGAATAGGATGATGATACTTTACAATGATTTTGTTGACCGCGTGACAATCAACGCACATACACCAAGTCCCATCCTTCTTAGTCACAAGTAGCACTGGAACTGCACATTGACTCATGCTTTCTCTCACATGTTCCTTTTGCATGAGTTCTTCGACCTGCCTTTGAAGTTCTTTCATCTCATTGGGATTGCTTCGATATGCTGGTCGGTTTGGAATTGTTGCACCAGGAATGAAGTCAATTTGATGCTTGATTCCACTTATTGGTGGTAAACCATTAGAAACGTCATCTGGAAACACATCCTTGAAGTCCTGCAAAAGAGATTTAACAACACTAGGCTAAGAATCATTAAGTTTGTTAGTGTTGAAATAAGCATCTTTATACAGAAGCACAAACATAGGCTGCTTTGCAAAGAACGCAGCCTTGACATCACTTTCTTTTGCATAGACACTCACTGATTTTCTCTCTTTGTTTTCAACACTCTTAATCTTTTCTCTCTTTTTGGACTCTTTTTCCATAGTTTTCTCTTTGTTTTTCATACCCTTAAGCTCACTCTCATTTCTCAGCTCACTCTCTTTTTTTACTTTCAGTTGATCCTCATAAACCTGCCTTGGACTCAATGGTGCAAGAGTAATTGTTTTCCCCTCCATGACAAATGAATAGCGATTTTTGAAGCCATCATGTGTTACCCTCATATTATATTGCCATGGTCTCCCTAAAAGTAAATGTCCAGCATGCATAGGAACCACGTCACAAAGTACCTCATCCTTATATCGTCCAATAGAGAATGAAACCAGAACTTGCTTATTTACCTTGATTTCTCCACAATCGTTTAACCATTGTAGCTTATATGGCCTTGGATGCTTCATCATAGGTAAATTAAGCTTTTCAACTAAAACAGTGCTAGCTACATTAGTACAACTACCACCATCAATAATTACACTACATACCTTGTTTTTGACATGGCACCTCGTGTGAAATATATTGTCATGTTGTACTTCATCATCTTCTGTGGCTTGCATATTCAAAGCTCGTCTAGTGACAAGCAGTTCTCCATCAACGGCATATTCCACCTTCTTTTCCCACTCCAAATACACATTTGGATCATTTTTGCCTTGAAATGGAGGAATCTTCATCTTGATGCTGCTTAAGTCATGATCTTGTCGATCTCCCCACCTTGCCAGATTTTGGTCTCCTTTGTTAAATCTATATCTTTGACCCCTTCTACCTCTCATAAATCTGTCTATGCTGAAATTTGAGTTATGGGCATCATCATTGAATGCATCTTCATCATTGTCATCAAGATCGTGATTATGCAAATTTGGACTTCCATTCTGTATTTGGTATAACTTGGCAATGACCGCATCTTGCTTCTCCATTTTGTCTTTAATTTCACCAAACATGATGTCTAGCCTCTGAAATTGTTGTTGCATAGCTTTGAGCATGAAGGAATCATCCACTTGGTGTT